GGCATCAAATTGTTTGGTAAGACGGTATACCCCTCTCCACTTGTAAAATTTTAAAAAACATGTTTAGACCAATTTTTCATTGCATTTTATTTCTTTTTAGACGTTGTGTGTGTTTTTTGTTCTTTGTGAAAATTTAAATCGTTTTTATGGGACCCACTTTTTATGGCTTATCCTATTAATTAATCAGGGTTGTTTGTTGCATTTTTGCCTTTCTTGTCCTGTTGTTTTAGTTACATGATTAATGAATAAATTCAATTCAAACTAATCAGAATTGATTGGAAATTGGACTGGAGAATATTGCCAAAATTTTTAGCCAATGTTCCAAAAGATAATGGTTCCTACGATTTCTCAAAATAATTTAGGCATGTTAAAGTGTTTTATGCTCTGCTTATGCACCTAATAACAGGATTAATTACAGAATTCACTCAAAATTGTGGTATTTCATTTTTATTTATTTTATTCAATGTCCAGGTAGATCTATTAATAATGATACAATGAGAATACAATACTTTGCACGTATATAAGATATATAAAAAATGAAATGGAACAAATACAATAATAATGTAATCAAATCGTAACATTCATGCATTTAGACTGCTTAATACAGTCATGGGGGTATGATAGAGTATATCAACAAAGAGCCAAGATAAATTATATATCACTCAATACTGTATACGTTCTTCTTACAGGGAGATAATAATACTAGGTAAAGTGGGTTGACACACTTGAGTTGTAAATTCACAGAATTGGAATTCAATAAATTAAATTAATAAAGCCTTGTAAGTCTATTTAAAATCACTTTAGCTTGAAGATAAAAATGTATATTTAATTCTCTGAACTATAGTTTAAGAAACGTTTAATAATAAAATAAATAATATCTTCCCGCTTTCGAACCATACACTGTTACGTCAGCTATTGGCAAGTGGTATTTGTAATGACTTTCAAAACAAAACCCTTGAATTGATATTTGCTACACTAGTAGTAGTAGTATTAAGTACCGTACAATAAAGAATCGTGAGGAAAAAAATTCCACTCTGTTGCCTCCAAAAAACAATGTAAATACAATATATTACTTAAAACCACCACACCATTTGGACTCAATATTAGGAACGTTCTCTCAGTACACTAAATTAAACCTATGGCATTCCAAATTATTCTGGATAAATCATTTGGCTTATTCATTGAGGCATGCCTCTAAAGTTTAGTTTTGGCCTTCCCGTTTACTTGTTTAGGCTGTTTATTCTAAACCCACCTAGCCTATTGTTTCTAATCATGCTTGCATGAAATTCTCACTTTATACTATCTGGCTTTTCAACCCTCACTCACTCGCCACTGAGGAAGGACTAGTGTTGTCCGAAAGCTGTGGTTCTATTTTTGGCTGTTTACTTACGTTTACTTTTTAGCTGTTGCTTATTATTTTTGTATCTCTACCGAGATCCAGCCATTGTTTCCCACAGCATTGTTGTTTATGTTGGGAATTGTGAACTAACTGAGAAAGCATCAATTTATTTATTGCTATCTTTCATTTATAGATTATAGTAAAAAGAGAAAAGATGTGTGGGCCTCTGTCAACACGGTAATTTCAAATACATCAAGTACCAAACCTAGAATTTACAGCATTCGGATTGAATATAAAAGCCCCCCCCCCCCACCTCTTTATTTTGTTAAAGTATCATGGTATTCAAGGTTTTATGGTATTTCAAATAGATTTAAATACTAAGAAAATTTTAACTGACACCCTATACATACATATATCATATGTGAATAGTGAATATCATCTCTGTGATTTATGCACATATTTACATAAGAGAAGTAGTCATATCTTACTTCATAAACATGATAATTGATATTTTAAAAAAATATGTACCTTAAAACCTCGAATAGAATCACAGTTGCCTTCATCCCGGGAAAGAAGCTCACCTCGAGTTGAAGCTCCTGGATATACAGGTTGATGTTAAAGTTGCTCTATTTGTTGTTATTCAGGAGTAATTCCTAAAATTTACAACGTTCGTTTTGAATTAAAAAAAAGCTTAAGGATGTGCAACTCCTGTCTCTTATACACATCTAGATGTGTATAAGAGACAGCAATATAGCAGTGACTAAGATAAATCGTAAAATATATGTATAATTAGACCGGATTAAAAAGGGGCGGTAACAACAAAGAAAATAAAGATAAACGAAAGGGCTAATCAGCCGAATGTAGGCCTATGATCTCACTAGCCTGAGCCAATGAAAATGAAATATAACAAGTTAAATAGTATATAAAGGATGAATAAAATGTACCAAGATGAATGCATTGATTAATAAAAAGTGTAATCTGTGAGAAATCCTAAATCTTTATTTACGCCATTTTTGTGAGTATTTAATCTTAAGATCCATTTCAATTCGCAACAACGTCTGTCGGTGAGGGAATTAAAACCTGTACTGACTAAATGAACTTAAGCTTAGAGATACAATGGTTGACTTGGTTAAAATGCTTAGCTACATGAAAGCCTAGTGTATTGTCTCTAATAGATTTTTTATGTGATTATTGCATCTTAGTCTAAATTTGCAACCAGTTTCCCGACGTATATAGTATCCATACATTGGGTACACCAAATAAGATATACCGGTATGACATTTGAGGCATTGCAAGTGAGCGATGGTGGGTGTATGGTTAAGTGGCGGATGTTGATGGTGTCGTCGGTAATAAGAAGCTTACAAAGGGTGATTACCAAATTTAGGGGTGATAGTGGTAGCCTGGTTGTAAAACTACTGAAATGAACTTTAGCGGGAAAAAAGTAAAGGAAAATTAATTTTTGGTTTTTCTGAATCAGCATAGCATATAGTGTCTCAGAAAAAAAATCCCCATGCCTAGGGCTTGAGCAATTCTTTTTACAGCACTTTGAAATTTTGGCCTAAAATACCCTATTTTAAACTATTTAAGGGGAAATAAATTTGTTTTTGGTCACTTTTACATATACTGTGGATATGAAATGTAACAACAACATGGCTATATAGTTACTCATCACTCTCATTAAAAAATTTGATCGGAATGATGACGTCATCATGACAAATTCCAAGATGGTGTCCATTATCGTGGGAAAAACTATGTTTTTAATGTAAAAGTAATTTTATTGTTATCAAAGTACAATACAATCTCAATACAATATTATACATACAGGAATAATATATATATATATATATATATATATATATATATAGTTCTATAGAGTGTTCTTAGAACCTCTAAAGAAATTTTGTAGAAAAAAAAAATTCTATGAAAAATTTATAGAATTTACTTAGAGTATTTGTATAGAAAAACAAAATTTTACAGAGTTTCTTTAGAAACACTTTTATTTTCTATAGAACTACAACAATTACTATATAAATTTTTTATATAGAATGTTCAACCCCCACCCATAAAAACAAAACAGGGTTTCAAAATTTAAAAACGTCCAACATCGCCAGTTTTGACTGGACATGCATGAAATTTTGTACACATAAACTAGAGGTGATTTACAACAAATGTTCATCGCCCTTTTTGTAAGTTAGACTCCAGGGTTCCCTCTACACCTACAAAACAAAACAGGGGTGTCAGCAAGGACTATATATTACAGCCATTTACCACAACTGTAATAGTTCATGTATGGCGCAGTCGGTTAAGGATGTGCGCCACTCGCACTGTAGTAGTGGTCAAGGTGCTGCAGAAGGATGAAACCAAAATTACTGTGAACCTTAAGCTACCAGAAAATAAACAGCACACATATCACTGCACTGTTTACAGAAAATTTGATGCAGAGGGGGTGTTCTATACATAACTCACAGGTGCTCAAGTAATCAGGGTATCTAGCAAAACAAGCAAGTCAAGAAAAAAGAAAACTACCTCTTATAAGTTCACCCTCTAATTCTCAGACCCCCTGAAATAGTTCATGTATGGCGCAGTCGGTTAAGGATGTGTTCTAAATAACTTTAGGGGGATGGGTTGGGGGCAGCAGGAGCTTAAGTCCCCCACTGGACAGGTCATGCCCCCTCCCATCGGACAGAGCTCGCCAGACAGTCGGACTAAAAAAATACAAAAATAGGCCCACGCCAAGACATGTCACAGTCTGAGAGTGTCATTTCTGGCCATCAAGTGGTTTCTTTCTTTAAAAAAGCTCATTTGGGAGGGGGAACGCCCTCTCAAACCCTTCCCCAGCTCGGGCCTACGAGCTGAAGGC